CCCCCCCTCACCATAACTCCTCGGTACGACTTGTGTCTCCCGTCCTAGGCTGAAGGAGATACCAAGGGCGATAAGGCCAAAGTTAAGGATGAGGTAAGAAGTTGAGTATTTTGAGAAAGTTGGATCGTAAAGTGTTTGCGTTGGAGGTTTAACTTCCATCGGAATAGCAGAATTGGGGAGGGGAGGGAAGGGTTGGTCACAGTTGGTCCTGATTTTTCAAAGTACTGTCTGTTAACCGTGAAAAATCTGCTTAACTACTGACTTAATACCGTTAGCTGTTGGGAGTGATTTAAAGTGGGGTAGTCTCGTATTTCTTGAGAACGGGGAAGAAGTGAAATAAAACCTTAAACATTAGTTCTGGGATTTTACTACTTTGAAACGGGAGTTAAGATTATGACTTTTTGAGAGTTTATATTTCATCACCGCAAACTCAAATGGTTTTCCCTTTTTTTTTAACAGCCACAGCGGAGATCGGCGAGGTTATCCGCTGTGAGTATTCCCCTGTCGGGCAGAGATATCACGAGGCTTGGTAGTCTTTGGCTGGATATTAGGTACAGCTTCTGTGAGAGCTGGATGTATTTTTGGAGAGATGCATTGTTCGGTTGAAAGAAAGTTACTGGCTTAACGAACTGCCCCATTGTGTGGTGTTATGGGAGTGGTAGAATAATTGACAAATCAAGTAAGTGCTTCAGTTTCAAATGTTTTTATTTGCTTTAGTAAAACTAAACTGCTTGGCTTGAATGTTTGTAAAATAGTGGTATGTTTCTCTTAAGATAATTTGAATAACATAAGGGTGTTTGTTTTTTTTCTCATTTACAGAAGCCTGCTCCTCCGAAGCCAGAGCCTAAACCTAAAAAGGCAGCTCCAAAGGTGAGTCGTTGTGTCAGTTCTATTGCTGAGAGGTAAATGGGTTTACGAGCTTTAGATTTGTCTGGTAATAACTAATAAAATTCTGAGTAAGACCATATGTAGTGATGAAATCGAGTGGCATCATCACTCTTGCAAAATTCAAAAATTTTCAGCACAACTTGGATAAAAATACCAAAGTGAAGACTCTTCACAGTTGCTGTCAATCTCTTAAACATACATCATCACTCTTGTAAAATTCAAAAATTTTCAGCACAACTTGGATAAAAATACCAAAGTGAAGACTCTTCACAGTTGCTGTCAATCTCTTAAACATGCAAACATTCGTGTGTTGTGGGGTTTTTTTGGGCCAACATCCAGTGCTGGTTTGTTACCATTCTAGTTTTTGGATTCTTGTGGCTTAATGGCTGGATGTTGGTAATTGTAACATCATCTTAACATTTACAGAAGAGCGAGAAGTTGCCCAAGGGAAAGAAGGGGAAAGCTGATGCTGGCAAGGAGGGAAACAACCCTGCAGAAAACGGAGATGCCAAAACAGACCAGGTAAAACAGCAGCTCTGGCAGCTTGTCTTACACAGGGCGATTATTTCTTTCCATATCAAACACAGACACGCCTGGGCTTGCGCTAACGAAGGGGAATTATAAGCAACAGGTCTAAACGATCACGCAGTGACACAACAGCACATCAATTGGGGGGGGGGTGTTGGTTGTTTGGTAAAGAGTTAAAGTTGTCTCTTTGCTGCCACACGAAACTTACCGTTGTGAAAATGCATAAAGTTTGCACATAATAAAGCAACTTCAGTTTGCCTTTTACCGTACCTCAAATGTTAAGATTTCATTTTGTTAAAAATGACTACAGTGCAGGCCATGTAAGATTTTCTTCTGTTCAGGGAACTGCTTTTTAGAAAAATTAGTTTATTGGTTGTTGGTGCGAGTGCGTGGTGTGTATTGACTGATTCCCCTTTTTCTTCCAGGCACAGAAAGCCGAAGGTGCTGGTGAAGCCAAGTAAAACGTGTGAATTTTTGATAACTGTGTACTTCTGGTGACTGTACAGTTTGAAATACTATTTTTTATCAAGTTTTATAACAATGCAGAATTTTTGGTTTACTTTTTTTTAAGCTATGTTGTTAGCACACAGACCGCTTCGTTGTTGTGTTTTGAGAGGGAGGGGGGAGGCGGGGGGGGAGGGACAGTGGGGACAAATGTCACTTAGGCTATTTCTCAGAACCTAAATTTTAATCAGAACGGTTTTCCCAGTCCCCTGGTTTTTGGAAAAAAGGGCTCTTCCTGAGTTAGTGGAGGAAGGGATTCCTTTACCTGTGCCTCTGTTGAGTTCTGTGAAGTGCATCCCAGTGAACATCAGAGCTCCCAAGATGCCTGTTGCTGACTTGAAAACCACAGTTTGTAATGCCCTTTCTATTTCCTTTAGAGCCTGTCACTCCAAAATACAGCAAAAAAAAAAAAAAAGGCATTTTTGGGACTTAGCACTCCAAATGCATTGTCAGGTGATCCGGACTTCTGGTGGCTAATTTGGGATAAAACAGCTCCAAAAGGAGCTCTACTTCCTTTTTTTATATTGTGGATCTTCAGGCTAAGAAAACCTGCATTTTAATTTTCTTTTTTTTATTTTTTTCCTCTAAAAGTCAGGGTAGGTTTGTGAAGAGTTGTTAAACAACATGCTAAATGTGAAAGTGTCCACCCTCACTCTAAACTTTTCCCTCTACGAGTATGAAATGGAAGATTTCTTGGGTTTTATAGCAACTTTGACGTTTCGGTAGTCCAGGAAGGGAGGGGGAGTTTTGACAGTTGTTGTAAAATGTTGCCGATTGTAGCCCATGTCCTGCCTAAATTACCATGATTGTTTATGAAAAGTACCTTTAATAAAGCTGGATACGGTTTGGCTTGGACTGTTCTTAATGCTTTTCTCATTTTTCTTGCCTTTATTTCATCTCTGCTGTGGTTGGTGCCAGAAGAACGGGTGCTGGGTACCTCGGTATCGAGGTGGTGTTTTGCTAATGGCCAATTATTTGTTGTAAGCATCTTAATTTGGATAATTAACTCGGTCTTAATTCACAAGCAAGATTTCTTTAGCTAAAAGCTAGATGGCTGCAGGGTGTTTGGAAACTCTTGGCTTCTTAAGAGGCCCAAAATGAAGCATGTAAGTGAATCTACTGAGATAATTTCTCTTTATTATTGTCTAAAAAGTAGTACTATACAAAAAGGGGAAGAACACAGCAATCTTGCAGTTACTCCATAGAAAAATACATTTTGGGAAGCTTTTCTTGGTAGTGAAACTAGAAGTAACTCCATAAAACTGATTAGGTGTTAGATTTCTGCACTTTAACTTGAATATTGTTGCTTCTGCTTATGAAGTACAGACTTTGCTGTGGTAGTGACTAAGCAGGAAACAAGATTTGTTGAGTAAAAATGCCCCATTTTTAGAGTGGCTACTGACACTAGAGCAGAGCCAAACCAAAACCCTCATGTGGGAATGTCTCCTTTGGTAACTTTCTCAAATGGAATATTTTTTTCCATCTCTGCTTGGCCTTTCCTGGGACTTGAGTGTCTGTTTTTGGTGAAGTTTGGTGACCTGTCCCAACCTGTGCTGTTTTCTGAGGGAATCCAATGAAAATGGACAGGGTGGAGTTCCCCATCCAGAAATCTGATTTTCTGGAGTGCTAGAAGTATCCCAGAGTGGCTGGATGGACAGAAAACAGCACCTTAGAAATGTATTAATAGGAATTATTTTTCCATCTTGTGTTATAGCTGGTATGTCTTATATTTGCCTTAGCAGATGTACAAAAAATGATGTTTAATATCCTTGCATATGCCCCACCCAGAATTAGCGGCTTGGAAAAGACCAGCAAAAATACTGATAATTACTTGTCCCAGTAACAGGTTTGGTGAAGTTTGGTGACCTGTCCCAACCTGTGCTGTTTTCTGAGGGAATCCAATGAAAATGGACAGGGTGGAGTTCCCCATCCAGAAATCTGATTTTCTGGAGTGCTAGAAGTATCCCAGAGTGGCTGGATGGACAGAAAACAGCACCTTAGAAATGTATTAATAGGAATTATTTTTCCATCTTGTGTTATAGCTGGTATGTCTTATATTTGCCTTAGCAGATGTATGAAAAATTATGTTTAATAGCCTTGCATATGCCCCACCCAGAATTAGCAGCTTGGAAAAGACCAGCAAAAATACTGATAATTACTTGTCCCAGTAACAGGAAGAGGGATTAACTGTCCAGGGCCACATCTCATGGGAAGCCCTGGTTGGGATGATGGGGGAAAGCAGAAACTCTGCTTTCTGTTTAAAATTTACAAAAAAAAAAGCTGTTGGGGTGTCCTGACTGGCTCTGGTCTGCTCTGACTTGCCCTGTGGAAGAGACTCTCAATGTAGGGGTTTGAATTCTGCATTTTGCCTGTGACTGAATTCTCTGAACCAGAGGGAGATGAGCCTTGAGGCTGTGGAGTCGCAGGGGTTTGAATTCTGCATTTTGCCCGTGACTCTGAATTCTCTGAACCAGAGGGAGATGAGCCTTGAGGCTGTGGAACTGTCTGAGACTTGGTCTGGGTGATCCTCTAAGAGCTCTCTGGGCAGTGAAATCAGAATTTCATCCAGTAATAATGTAATTATCATGACATTAAAATAATATTTTAATTACATGGTTTAAAAACACAAGTTCTGAAATGGCCCACCTTACTTCTGTAGAGCCTGGTGGTGTTGGGCTCCTACACAGAGAAGGAGCAGTTCCAAATGAGCTGGTTTTTGGAGGGGTTGCTGCTGGTTTGGTTGCCAACTGGAACCCTCTGGTGTTCTCTGGGAAGGTCTTTGTGGTTAGAAGGTCTCTTCAGCCCCTAGTCATTAAACAAAGTACTGCTAATAAAGTGTAATTGCGGGGTTTCTTTTTGTGGAAGAACTTACTGCTTAACGATGACTTAATCTTTTCAGTACCTGGAAGTCTGAGCTGCGCCTTGCTGTCCTGTGTGGGGCATTTTCTCCAGCTGAGGAGGAAAATGATTTATTTTCTGTGTAACTGCCACATTAAGTGTCTCTGTAGCTCCTTTTACTGCGACCTGTGAACTTCCAAACCTCCAAATCTCACGTGTACCAAATCCTGCTGCCTTGATGTCTCCGCCACGCGTGTTCTGCCTGGCAGAAAAGGACCTGGGGGTGTTGGTGGACAGTCGGCTGAACAGGAGCCAGCAGTGTGCCCAGGTGGCCAAGGAGGCCACCAGCATCCTGGCCTGGATCAGGAACAGCGTGGGGAGTAGGGCCCGAGAGGTGATTGTCCCCCAAGTCCCAGGCGACAGGACGAGAGGAAATGGCCTCAAGTTGCACCAGGGGAGGTTCAGGCTGGATATTAGGAAGAATTTTTTCACTGAAAGGGTTCTCAGCCATTGGAATGGGCTGCCCAGGGAGGTGGTGGAGGCACCATCGCTGGAGGTGTTCAAAAGAGGGGTTGATGTAGTGCTGGGAGGTATGGTTTAGTGATGATGCTCCTTGTTTGTTGTGTGGGTGTCTATTTTTGTCAGTCAGGTTGATGGTTGGCCAAGATGATCTTTAAGGTCCCTTCCAACCTAGAAGATTCTGTGATTCATGCTGATACCATAATAGGCTTTGGAAAGTATTGATGCTTTGATATTTTTTTTGCTACAAAACTCCTGTATTTTTCTTTTTCCTGGTCTGGAATCTCCCTGTTGCTCAGAAACATCCCTTCTCCTCCCTACCTGTAAAAGTAGGAGAAATTTTAACCCCGTGGTTAAGGGGAAGGGTTCTTCATGAAGCACCATGTATATTCACTGCTGCAAGATTCCAACCTCTTGCTGCATCCCAGGTGTTTCCCACTGGACGTGCCCTTGTGCTGGGGTTACTGGTTTATTGCGGGCTTGACTTGACACGGGAGGCTCATCTGTTTCTCCTGAAGCAAATAGAAGGGGAAGGGATGCTAAAGAGGGTAAATCCAACTAATTAGTCCTGTAAATTAAAAGCTAAAGAGCGGGCAAGGCTGTGCTGCAATCCGAGAATGGTTGGTGGTTAGAGCAGCCACAAATCTGCATCTCCAGCTGCCAGAACGCCTTGAGCTAAAAATAAGTTTTTTCTGTTAAATGGTAATCGTTTTACATGGAAAATTGTCTCCGTGTCTCGTCTGGGAATGTGATTTATGCTGCCGGGTGCGTTTAAAAAGCTGGGCTGTCAGGTGGTCTTTACATTCGTGTGTGTTTTGTCCTCTTGGTTTGAGCTTATAAAAACTGCAGACCAGTTGGGGAACAAAGCTAAATCCACCCCCTCGAAGGGTACCAGTGATGTTGCAATTATTTTCTAATTTAAAAGACAAGAGAGCATCCTATTTGAAATCAAGCTGAGGATTTGAGCATTAAACAGTTCCCACTCGCAGCTGGTGGTTAGGAAAGACCACGAATTGCACCAATTTTAGGTAAAAAATACAAATCGTGGGTGTTGAGACAAACGGAACTGTCAGAGCTGGGTTGTGTTCCTGGGCTCCTCTGGAATATCCTCTGGAGGGATTGCTCTCTTGTGGAAGACTTCATCCTCTGGTTGTTTTGTCCACTATTCTTCAATATTTCTCAAATGTTGGCATCTTGAGGACCGGCGATGAAATTTTGGAAGGGTAAGTGAGCTGGGAACCCTGGTGATGTTCAAACAGCCTCATTTTTGGTGGTTGAAATCTGTGCTGGGCTTTCGGCAGCGCTGGGTGCAATGGATGCGTCCCCTTCTTGGAACAAGACAGGAAAGCTTTTTGTCTTTCTGCTAATTACCTTCGTTCTGAACGTTCGCTGTCAATTTACATGATGTTTTTTCTTGTTCTGCTGTCTGATACATTTCCAACTTTCGTCTTTATCCCTCCTCTTACAGAAAAACTTGACTTGCACCAAAGACCTACAGTGAATCAAAAGCCGGATGTGATATTCTGGGGGAATCCAGCTGCTGGTAGGCAAAGGGCAACAGCCACCTCCAGAACCCAGAAAGTCACCTCTGACAACAGAAAGACAAATGAGTAGGTTCAACTTTCCTTGACGAAGTAGCCGAGTCATGGTGTGGTTTAAATCCACCTAAAATTTAGTGGCTGCGGCACTAAATTGTGTTGCAGTTTATTAATTTCAGCACAAATTGCCTGGGAAATAGACTCAAACTGCTGTTCTTGTTTCTTTGCCTCTTAATGGGCAAGGTTGTGAAGAACGGCCGAGTTCTTCCCGGTCCCGAAACCTTTGGCAAAGCTTCCAGCCCAGCCTGGGGGGGGTTCTTTGTTTTCCTAAAGTTTCAGATTTCTGCTGGGGGTCTTGAGACCGTTTCGATTACTGAGAAATGAGAGAGCAAAATCTCTGGACCCTTCCCCAAAAGCAAGTGATGGTTAAAAACTGAGTTGAAGTTAACGTGAGCTCGCTGCAGAGCGGTGGATCGTTTACTGTGATCCTACAAAACCACCTTTACCCCAACCGTGGGTTTATTTTCAAGTAAAAGTGGATTTTGGGGGCTTAAAAAAAAAAGACAGGAGAACTAGCAGAGACTCCCTAAGAATAAACTCCTGTCCCTGCTCCTCCTAAAGCGGTGCCCTTGGATTAACAGGTTTGAGTTTCAGGCTAATTCCCTCCTGCAGCAGTTTTCATCTTGCACTCACAGAGCTCAATTATATTTGGAAAAAGTGACAATATACTTCTTGCATCAGCCCGAGCCCTGCCATGAAATGAAAAGGAACAGGGGAAGGAAAACATACTAAATTTCAGTGAGTGCACCCGGTGAATATTGAGTTGCAGGATCGTTTGTGCCTTGAAGAATGGCCTCGCTTGATGGCACAGGGATTTCATTGTCCCTAAATCATCCCAGATATGGTAATGCCATACCCAGGGACTAATCTTGCTGACTATAATTTCTGAGAAATGGGTCCTTATT